AGTGCGTGAGCACGGAGGGAGGAGCGGACGTGCCCTCCAGTGCGGGTGCGTGGACAGTCACACGGATGTGGGCGCGTGCAGAGGTGTGGCACACACAGACAGGGACGGGCACACACCTCTCTGCATCACTTGTCCACAGGTAGAGCCGTGTGTGTGCACACACACCCGTGCACATTTGTGCACACACCTGTGTACACACGCACGCCCTTGCATCCCCATGCGTACCCAGCACACACACGTGGCACACCCCGGCACGTACACGTGTACACACACGGTGGCAGAAAGCATGCACATACGTGTGCAGCATGTGTACACATGGACACGTACCCACCTCAGGCCCCACCTCCCAGGGCTCCTGCAGCACCCAGAGCGGCAGACAGGTTAGGGAGGAGGGTGCTGAGCCCCCTGCAGCCCGGTCCCTGTCCCCCGTGCTCAGACACACCTGGAGGGAGCTTGGGAGAATCAAGAAGAGAGAAGAGGAGCAATATAAGGCTGGTGACAGTGCCTAGAGGAGCAGGGGGAGGCCTGCTGGCCCTGCCATTCTGGCTGGTGCCTGGGGAGACAGGGGCTGAGGCTGCCATGGTGCTGCTGACTCGAGCTGTCTGGTGTCTCCACTGAGCATTGCTCCTCCCCAGTCATGGCCTTGCACAAATATTTGAGTGGCCCTGAGCGGTGGGACAGGCCCTCGTCATCCTCCCGTCCTCCCTGGCCAGCACATCTGCAGGGCATCCACGGGGCACCCGGTGCCTGGGCATCACTGTCTGCCTCCAGCTACAGCCCCAGCAGGGTGCCCAGAGGCAGCTGTCTTCCCCAGCTCGTGAGACCCACATCCAGTGCCCCATGCCATGATTGGCTCAGATTTGCCCCAGTGATGCTGGAGTATGTTGGGCAGATCATCCTCTATTTGCACAGTGTCATCCCAGAGGATGGTGCGTGTGAGGTGGCCATGCCTGGGTGGGACAGGCAGCAGGAGGGGTAGTGAATGGTGACATAGTGGAGACAGAGCAAATCCCCAGCAAGGGGTTTGGGGCAGAGAAGGAGCTGGAAGTGGTGCAGGAATGTGCTGGCTGGCCTGGGGGAAAGCAGGGGGTTGGTGCAGTGCCCAGCATGGGCAACAGCCCTACAGACAGGACCCCTGCCAGAGCACAGGATGGGGGCAAGTACCCAAATCTAGGGATCCTGGTGCTGGTGCCAGTGGGTACCAGTCTGTGCCCGAGGGGTTTGCTTGGCTGTTGGGCCTGCGGGAAGACCCAGCCCTTGAGGTGCACCAGGGCTCCGGGCGGGGGCCCCGCACCCTCCACCAGCTCTGCTCTGGCGGCTCCGGTGCTGGGCAGGCACCAGGGGCAGCTGCTCTTCCTCTGTGCGGCAGTTCTTTCATCCCTGGACAGCGCCTGCCCCGCCACAAGTGCAGGAGACACACTGCTGGGGGCAGCCCCGGGGAGGAGCCCAGCCCAACGGGCACCAGAACCCACCGGCACAATGCAAAACAAGGACACAGGGCTGGGACAGACAAACCCAGTGCCCAGCCACCTCCAGGAACCCAGCAGGTCCCACAGGTGCTCACAGCAGGCTGGAGTGCAGGGTCTTGTCAGGGGCATCCAGTGGTACCCAAGGCTGGGAGTGTGCCCAGCTGCCATGCCTTTCATCCTCACTTGCCTAGGTGAGTCAACACCACATGCTTGATGATTGACAAGCGAAAATCTTTCCCTGGGGTCAGGTCCACAAGCTTCCAAAAGAGCAGATGTTCCCCCCTGCATCAGCCTCCTGGCTGGAAATGGCCAGGATACAGCCAAGTGGGGACAAGGGACAGGAAAGGAGCCTCAGTCTGCCACAACAGAGGAGAAACTTTGCAGGTAGTGGGTAGAGGAAAGACAGGCTGGCAGCACCCTGCTCCAGAGCAAACACCCACAGGAGGGAAGAGGGGCTGAAACATCCCCATGGAACTTGGACCAGCAATAACAGATGGGGCTGGAGTCCAAGTGGAGATGTGATTCTGGCAAGCGGATCCTGAGCTGAGGATGCAGAAGCAGTATCCAACTGGAAGGTGGCAGTGCCACAAAGCAGTGGGGACAAGATTACATCTTCCACCCATGCCTTGCTGCTCAAAAGGGAACTTCACCCAAGCTTTGCAAACACAGGGCATTGTGCCCAGGAACAGGCAGGTTTGCCTGCAGACACCTTCCCAAAATAATCCTGGCAGCCAAATGGCCACAGTGACAGACAACCCAGGGAGACCCAACTCATCGACTTCCCATGGTCTCCCAACAGCTGTCCCATATAGACAGATGTGGGGCATCTCTTGTCCCCAGTCCCACTGAGGTAGCTGCCTGCAGCCACATCTGGTCCCCCCTGGCCCCGGGTGAGTCTGCGCTCCAGGAGAGCCTTTTCTTCCAGCTCCTGCTGGGATTTACCCCACCGCACACAGCAGGGAGCAGCACCCCTCTGGTGTAAGCACAAGGGTGGCTGCATGGTGATGAAGTCTGCCAGCCTGTCCCCAGAGGCACCCACTGCATCTCAGGGACAGAGCAAGAACAGCCAAGATGGTATTTAGCAAAATTCATCAATTTATTTATTTACTCAGTCAGCAATAAATAGAGGAAAGCTAGTGGCAGGGGTGCTGGGTGTGGGACTGACCTCTCCAGGAACAGAGACAGGCCAGGAGCCCAGCAGAGCCCAAGCCCCAAGGGACAGCAAAGGTGTGAGAAAGCAGAGGAACACTGCAATAGGGGTCTGACCCCTGGGATAGGGCCCTTGCCCTGCTAGAGAGCAAGCCATGGAGGTGAAGGACAGAGTGCAGCAGGCAGAGCCCAGCGCTAGCAGCTGCCTGGCTCATGGTACTGGGAGCAGAGCTGGCAGCCTAGGTCCCTCCTGTTTTCACAGCCCCCCAGAGAAGAACTGCAGGAGAGGGGCTTTCCTTGCCTCCCCCAGCCCAATTCCCAGCCCGGTGAGATGCCACTGCAGCTGGGACTAGACAGGATGGGGTGCATGTGAGCTCAGGAGTCTCATGGACAGTTTTGTGGTGGATACTGACAGCACCAGCTTGGTGCCAAACACAGGGACACCTTAACCGCTTGCCCTCCCTACCCTGGCTCCACCAGGAGACCCCTAGCTACCTCCTAAGAGCTTTGTGCTCTAGTGCAGGGACCCAGCTCTTCTCTGGGAGCATTGGGCCAAGCCCCCCTGCCCCCCAAAAACAGGCAGCAGCTGTGGGGCTGCAGGAAGGACAGATGCCACAGGAAAACTACCCCAACACAGGCTCCTGCCTTTAAAAACCTACAATTTACATAAAACTGCCATTGTAAAACCTTCCTGCAGAGCAGTGCCACGCAGGAAGGGGCAACAAACCCACCCCAGGCAAAGCAAGGCAAACCCTAAAGTCCAAATCCAGCAGGGACAGGCAGAGCCCAGGGGGATGTGCCAGGGCAGAGGGCATTACCGGCAGGTGCAGGACTCTGCGATCATGTTCTCGTACTCCTTGTAGAGGATGCCACCGTCGCGCTCGATCATGAGGACACTGATGGGGCTATAGCGGTAGGGGACGCAGGAGGGCCGGGGCACATTGGCATCCACCAGCTGATGGACAAAGCTCTGCACCACAGCGTGGTTGGGCGCGTGGTAGTCGTAGCGGAGCAGGTGAGGACAGGCACCCTTGCAGTAGCGTGGGTTGTAGCGATGGGGAGCAATGATCCAGTGGTCCCAGCCCAGCTGGGCGAAGCTGACGGGGAAGGGGCGCAGGGAGCAGTCACTCTTCTCCCCTCCCTGCTCCCGCAGGTAGCCGGGCAGGTCATGGGCCAGTGTTCCTGTGTCACGCCGGTGCCGGAAGGGCTCTGCTGCTGGAGGTGCCAGTCCAGCCTGGGTGTCATTGAGGTAGAGGAGGAGGAAAGGTTGGCTGGGGGCCAATGTGGCATCGCTGTCCCCTGCCCGGCCAGCACGCACACAGATGTGCCGCAGTGCCAGGCTCCTCACGCTGCCATTTCCTGGCACCAGGTAAGGGGTGACGTCCGCTTCGGTCCAGCCATGGCTAGGGCGGGTGGCAGGACTGAGCAGCACCCCAGGTGCCTCGCTGGAGGCTGCCAGCTCCAGGGCACAGAGGAGACGACCGTGGGCCAGTGGCAGGGGGGGGGGGGGGACCCC